TACATGTCATACATATAAACTTATTACACAGCCTTTGTCTGACTGTCATCCCAAGAAGTATTCGCATACAAACGTTGGTAATTTGTGACGAAGTATGTGAGATACATGCTCTGTCTAAACCAGAGGTCAGACCTATTAATGGCTGACGTGGGAACAGTGGGAGATTAGCTGAATAAACTGTTTTGAACAATCTTGATGGTAACACTGACAATTCTTTTTTTGAAAACTTCCAACTAAGCATAAAGTGTAACGAAATACAATCTTCCAACATATTTTGTAAATATGACCATGACTTTCGTTGAAGGTTCCAGATGTAAGATGAATAAAAGTTGACCATACATTACTCCTCTTTTATAATGCACCTTCCCAACACATGAAGTGTGTTTAAGCTTTCCGCATTTGACTAGTAGCTTGCTGGCATGGAGTGCTACAAAGTTTGCAAACATATATGACCTTGACCCATATTCAAGATCGAAGGGGTCAAGTTTATTCATGTAAAACACCCAGCAACTTCATCTAGGGAACTGGAAAGCATACAATCAAATAATTTCAGCAGTAGCTTACTAGCTTGGAATTTTACAAGGCTTGTGAACAGTAATAACATTGGGATATGACATATTTAAGACTGCATGAATCAAATGAGCGAATGCATTTAAGATTTGAATAGTGATATTTAGAAAATGGCTTGCTAGCATGAATTACTTCAAGCTTTGCGAAAAGAAAATACCTTGACTGATTTTCTAGGTCTCACATCAATTTATTTAAACAAACAACTTCTTATGAAGAACAAAAAGTCCTCAAGTCACGGTATTTGGCATGTATGGAATAGAGTGCTACAAACTTCATGAACACAAATTACCTCGAAAAAATATTCAAGGTCACAGGGGTGAAATGTGTTTTGTATTGAAAATTAGGGCTATAATCAGATTTTTTTTATAAATAACCTTGAACCACTAACAATATTGCAGGGGTCAAATGTGTTAAAACCTTTTAACAACCTCCTGGGATTGATGTTTTAAGAACTGATATTTATCTAATAGCTAGCTGTTGAAGGGACAGTATCAAGTTTGTCCAAATAAATAACTTAACTTAGAGGTAAAAGTTTTGAATAAGCTGAAACAACTTTTATCAAACATTCCCCAAGGTCTAAGGTGGTAATAGTATGATTGGCACTTGCTGGGATAATACGTTTTTGTTCAATGAAATGACATTTACCAAAGTTCCATCAGTACACAACAAAGATTTACAAATGTTAAGAGTTATGATATATTAAACATGCTTAATATAAAGTTATTTTAACTAAATTTGACCTTCACATACTTTGAATGTCATAATATGAAAAATGTTTGTGATCAATGTTGAATAAAAGCAAATTGGGCCTTTGTTTGAATGTTCACCTCTGTAACCTTAAAAGTAGATCAAGCTCATTTTTATTTTTTTCAGAAACTATGTTGGACTACAAGGAACCTACTAGCCAAACACAATGACCTTGTTTATGACCCTGCATTGACAATGATTGTCATCATCAAATGTGGTCACACAGGTAGCTTCTCAGGTAATCAGTTTAGAAAGAAGTTGCCCTATATTACCCCTTTTGACTCCTATTCACAGCCCTGTAGCGGGCAGCTTCTTGTTTAAAAAGTCTGATTCTCGTCACTTAAGAATGATTTCATAAAAGTTTGGACTTAACTTACAGTAGAGATGTATATAGGTTTTGCACTAAGTGACCAGGATCTCCTTTGAGTCAAACAGTAGTCAGTCCTGCCTTTAATATCAATTATGTTCCTCATCTTCTGAGAAATTCACTTTATGAAATGCTGGTCAAAATCCAGCTAAGTTTTAGACGTTGTTGGAATGCTTTGCAGTATTTCACTCCTTATAGCCTCACCTTTAGTCTGATGTACTACTCAACAATGTTACACTCAGAGCGTCGGCAAATATAACAGCAACTAAAAATCACAATGGTTATCACATATTTAATGACCACAACATATAACTGAAATATGTACACAAAATGACAATATCCCAAACTGATGAAATATAAATATAACTTATCATTTGTTGTCAAACAACACGACTGTTCCAAATCTATAATTTTACAAACTTTTGCATTAAACCATCACAGAAGATATTCAATTCACCAACTTACTTTTTTTTTATTTCAAATATTTAAAGGCAAGTGATTGCTCATTTTTCACAAGTTATTTGCCTTTCAGAATTGTTTGTCAATTAAGAATCAAGGTCGACCAGCATGCTTGAGATTTAATGTTCAGGTCATCCAATTACAGCAAAGGTATATCTGGTACATAACGGACATTTTGCTATGGAAATGTCCAAGCTTTTCCCAACAGATGATGTTCCTCAAAGGATAAGCTATGTAGTGGTTCACTTGAAGCTGTTCAATATGGCTGCAGTCTGGAATCTTGATATCTGATCCTTGATTTTTGTCAAGTTGTTCCCGAGAAAACCTACAATAATGAAAAGAATATAATAACTATTACAATAACTGTCTTCTGAATGTTCAATGAAAAAATTCAGTAGCTTCCGTTATTTTTACAGCAAACTCCCATTTTCAGTCACAAATTCACAACAAACTGTACAATAGAATTTTATGATAACAAATTCAAGAGTTTATTGACAGAAAAGTTAAACGTTTTTTGAAGTTGCATACAGGTATATTGAATTGTACTTATTTTCTCAAAACATTTCCCCTTTGTAATGAACGGATTACCTGTGTCCAATCAACAACATAAAATCCTTGTAAGTGGCTATGATGCAACCGTTGCTGAGTAATTCCTTGAGATTCTTTCAAATTCACTTTGCTGCAAAACAAAAAATAATCATGTGAAAAAAACACTTTTTTCAAATTCACTTATAATTGCCTTTAAATATATGTGTTTGATAAATATTTTGATTCCCACCATTTTCTTTTAGTAGAATTTGAATGTAGATATTCAGAATCTCAATGGTGCCATGTATAACTGTGCTAAGCATAATTGCTAAAATCAAAAATCCTTGCTGCAATATTTCAAAAAAATACTGGTCATTTTAAAATAAAACGAAACAAAACTGTAGACCAACATTGAGATAACATTTTCACCTTGTGTAGATAGTCTTTAATGAATGGATGACTTCGGTGGGAATCCTTCAGCTGGGAAATGTATCTGTTGCTCACCTGAAAAAATCATAAATAACTTCAACATAGTACTTCTACTTCTAAATGGTACTGACCAACTTCAACAATTT